TATTATACCCTTATTTAAATAAAGTTGTCATAAATAAAATAAATAAACTTATGAACTTCCTAGCATTGATTAGTTATCTTGAGTGAATTTATTTTGGAATTGTAAATTGTACTATAAGGATAAAATTGTAACTTCACTATGCTAATCATTGTTGCCTTAATCTGTGTGTCATTTCTAAAGTGGACAACTAAATAGGGAGAGTATTTGATTTCTGGGTTTTTTTCTTCACCTGTGTTAACAATTTTAAATGAAATAAATGTTAAAAACACGCCAAAATCGAGAACTATATCTCATTTTCTTCTTTTCCTTCATTCATTTCTCTTCCTTTATTTTTCCAATGGAGGGGGTGGGGGTAGATACTTGATAAAGGAAATACATAGTCATTTGCTTGAGAGACATGTTATGGTGGTATTTATAATGCGGAGATTGCAATATAGGCTATTAAATTATACAATGATGGTAATGCAGGAATTAATAATACATAAATTCAACAGAAGAATTGTAATATGAGTATTTTTTTTTATATAATGTGAGTGTTATTATGTTGTAGAGTGTATAGAATTTAAAATATTTATTTTGTTACTTTCTAAAAGAAATTGTTTAACACATGAGGGTTATTTCGTTTAACAGTTTCAATTTATGCGTTATTATCAATCTTTCTATTTTTATTTCTGTATTTTATTTCGCATGAAATAATTCATAGATTCTTGCTCGCTATTAAAATCAAGTAAAACCTGATTCAATTTATTTTTTCTTTTTAAAAAAAGTTACTTTTACACGAAATCGATGAATCGATTTGATACACAATATATTTTGCGTGAAAAATAATAAGATATAATCAATGGACTAAGAGCGTGTTTGATATTATTGTTGGGAGACCATAAGTACTTATTTTGAGAAAAAAACACTTTTATTGAAAATTACGCGTTTAGCAAATCAATAAAAATGTCTTTAAATAGAATCAAAAGCATTTTTTATATTGTTGGAAAGAAGCTAAAAAATTTCGCTTCTTAAAAAAAGCAAAAACAAAAAATTATTTTTCTCAAGACTAAAATATATTTCATATATACATATTTATCAATACATCTCTTATTAATTAATTAACATATCTCATAAGTTTGGTTAAATGTAATTTAAGATTTTTTTTTAATATATAATAAAGTTTATATTTTACTTCATGTTTATATATTATTATTTTATATTTTACATAGTATTTTACGTATAAGTTTAAAGAATTGGTATAAAGATAATAACAATATTTTTGTAAGACTAGGGAAAAGAGAAAAAAAATAACAATTAAAGATTTCAACCCTCCCAAAAAAAAGTATAATATTGATTGAAAATTTATATATGTACATTTTAATTTAATAAAAATAAAAGTATAATAAAAATTTTATAATATATATTTAAAATAGTTTCTCTCTATAAAATAATCTTAATATTAAAAGCACATTAATAGTTGTCCTTTTTCGTAATTTGACTCTCAAAAACACTTTTTATAAAAAGATCAGTCACACATAATTTGCTTATGAAAATAATTTTTTAAATGAATTAGTCAAATGCAATTTTTTTTTTTCAAAAGCATTTTTCTGAAAAGTTATTTCAATAGGTCGTTTTTCGCAGCAATGTCAAACAGACTCTAAATCAATTTAGGTAAAAAATAATTAATTTCGACCAAACCATTTTTTTGTTATGCAATCTGTATTTTAAATCAATAATACTACTGATAACAAAACTTTGTAGAAACAGTAAATTCCAAAGTTTAAATCACGTAGTGAAGAACAAATATTAATTAACAGAAACTAATGACTGTAAAACATATCAAAATTTGTAACAATCGTATGAAACAGAAAGGAAAGAAAATCGAGTTCACTGACTGCACAATGTCCCCTAAGGAAATTATTCTCCTCTAGCATCTGATGTTTGAATTGGAATATATCCTCTCATGATAGAACGATTCCATTCACCAGTGTATTGATATCCAAAACAATGGTGTCAACGAGACACTCAATGACAGTAAAGTACACGAATAATGAAATTGTGCAGAAGAGGAAGAAGAAATTTTGTAAGTGAAAAGTCTGAGGAATCACATGTATTTATAGCCAAGAAGCACTGATTCTGAAAGGTTGCAACCTTTCAGAAACCACACGACCATTCATGAAAGTTTGCAACCCTTCAGAACGGTCATGGCTATTCCTGAAAGTTACAGCATTTCAGAACAATCATTTCTAACGGTGGGAAATTCAAATAAAACGGGAAAGCTGTTTTAAACACAGGGTCGCGCGGATCCGAGTCGGGTTAGGTCGTTTTGGCTAATTGTTTAAATAATTAAAACGTTTTGGCCATTTAATTTAATTTAATTAATTAAATAAATAATTAAAACAAACTTTGCCAAAAAAATAATCTCTCAATCATTTTCTAAAGCCAAAGGGAGTTCTTCTTTTCAATCTTTTTAACAACTAGTAGAAGTGTTTATCTATTTAAACACTTGAACTTTTCTTTCCACCACCAACGAGGGAGAAATGTTTTTTTTCTTATTATAAAGCATAAAGCATAAGAGAACCTTTCAAATTCCTCCTTTCATCTTCCCTTCATTTCCCATTAATTCTTACAATATACCCAATATTTTTCCGATGAACTCAAATATAAAAAAGTAAATGAGCTGAATATTAAACTAAAGCAAAGAATAAGAAATCTCAATGGTAAAATACAAGAACTAGAGCAAGAAAGACTGGGACTCAAGAATTCTTAGCACTTAATCGCAGAAATATGTATTTTCGATCGGTACTTAAGTAATGTCACATGCTTATGGTTTGACTCTGGGTTCGAGATAGATTTTTGTCAGATTTGGAGCCCGATGCAAGCTACCCGGCGTGATGGTGAGCTAAGCTAAGGGAGGAGAGCTAGTAAAAGGTGCGAGGAGAAGGACTTGACCACACAATCCTGCATTTTTATACGAGTATTATAATACAAATCAACAATAAAATTAAAAACTCACAACAACTATAAAATAGAATAGAATTACATTGTAGATGCACAAAGCGAAATAAATAAGATTCTTTTTTATTCTGAAATAAGTAATTTTCAGAATTTAAGATTTCCAAACAATGCATTTAAACCTAAACCAGCAAAACCAGCTCCAGTATTAAATAGACCAGCATCCATTGTATTTTGGTATAAATTTGGGATTTGTCCTTGTCCCGCACCAGCAGCAGCAGAGCCTCCATAACTCATAAGTGTTTGGTTGAATTGCTGGTTTATTGCTTGGTTATTCAGAGAACTAGCAGCTATGAGATAGCTTAGTTGTTGATTCTGCCGATAATTAGCACCCGAGATCATTTCTGCCATCATTTTGTCCTGATCTTCTCTTTGCTTTCGCAGAATTTCAGGGAACGACATTTCGTTATTCTGACTTCCCCCAAATTGCGGTGCAGCAATAGTTCCGTTGTTAATCCCTGGACTTGTACGGCCTAGCAGTTCGTTTAGTTGTTGATTCTCATGATTAACGCCGCCCATGATCATTTCTGCCATCAATTTATCCTCATCTTCTCTTTGCTTTCGCAGGGACGATATTTCGTTTTTAATCTCCTGATTCATATGATCTATCCCTGTAGACATAAATTTACGCGTTAAGAACCGATCAAATTTATATTTTAGATGCATCTTTTTGTAATAATGCACTCATCCTTACGAAATCTTGAATACGCCTGCCTCTGGGAGTAATATAAGTTGATAAAAACACCTGGTATGGATAAAAATTTACCTGCACAATGATGTTGATATTGCTGATCAGGAGCAGATCTAGAATTACTACTTGTTGTTGGGTTCTGATGGAAATGACTTTGCAACTTTGTACAATTCAAATGAGCATCAAAACCACAAGTATGGCATCTATAGAGCCATTGTTTGGTTCCAATATTCTTGCAAATATCACAACGGAATGATTTACTAGGGTAAGGAGATGAAAATTGAATTTCAAGTTGGTGACGATGAGATCGATGAGTGATATATTGTGGGAGAACTGCACATAGTATATGAAGATCAATACCACAACTGTTGCAGTGGTAAGAAAATCCATCCCCTGTTTCCCCACACGCATCACACCGAAAATTCCCTTCCGGGTAAATCGACTTTGGGAGGAGAGTCAAACTATGTTCTTTATCAAATGGATGATTGATTTGCTGTGGCATTTGGGAACATTCAACATGGAGGAAAAAATTGCAAGATTTACAAGTGTAAACTGATCCATTAGCTTGAATTTTGCAGCCTGAACATAGCTGTGATGGAGCAAAGTTTTGATGAGTAATTAGCTCTAAAGTGTGAGGATGGCTAAAATGAGTTATTGTGTTATTGGATTGTTGAGGTTCTAACTTCTTCCCCATCTCTAAAACTCTTTTCTAGTTTGGTGCACTTCAATATTTAAATGGACTAATTTTGGTAAACTGTATCGTCAGTATATATATAACTTAGTTTTTTTTTAATAAATCGTAAGACTCAATGATGTGTTTACGATTTGTTCACTACGAAATAGGGAAATATGAATTCTAAATAGAACTAGTTTGGTGGTATGGCAATAAAGTCAAAGTCCATTTTAGTTGATATAACGCGGTTGAAGAGGAAAAAAAAAAGGTCAAAATACTCGCAAGGTGAATTCATGAAGGAACGTGCTTTGTAGACTTTTAGAAATAAAAAATAGGGTTGACGGAATATAATTATTGATAAAGTATTTTTTTTAAAAAATAAAATAATTTATGAGGTCTATTCAATTTCCATGAAACATGAAGAGTTCAATTTTATTTTTTTTATATATATATATTTATTTTTTTTGTAAGTATGAACACCTTGGTGTATAAAATAATTGGGAAATTTGATAAAATAAAGCAATGAGTTGAAATGGACGAGATGTAAAGAGTATTTTCATCTTGGGACATTGAAAGCTGCATCCTCAAAAGGTTTTTGTGTAATCAATGTCATTGTAATATTTCAAATTCCACAAATTCGGCATGGGATATAGGACCTTTCAAGACTTGCAAAAACACTAGTCCTATTTAAGGTCCGTGTTATTTAAAAGATAAGGAAAAAAAAAATAGTCTAATACACAAAATATCTCGCATTGATAGAATTCAAAATAAATTCGCACTCGAAAAATGTAAGGTAGTTATAAGATAATGATCTAATTATTGTCAAACAAGTATGTCTCACTATCTACAATATGAGAACTTTGGGGTACTTAATTGATGGTAGCGAAAAAACATGTATTGACCAATTAGAAGTTCATTTGATTATTAGTTTAAGCAGTTGCATAGATAACTATATAAACTAGTTCTTCTTTTCGAGATGTTTACTTGTCATGGACATGTTAATAAGCTTGCCTTAACGAGATCCATGTATGATATAATTAGGCGAGTCTTATTAATCTAGACGTGAAGAAACATTTTTAGTAATTTACTTACTTCGAAAAAAAAGTCTTCGAAAGGATCCAAAATGAATGTCAATATATAGTGCTTGTCTTCACAATGATACACGCGACAACTTGTCAACTACATATAATATGCTTGAGTGTTCACATTGTTGACCTTTCATAAAAAATTAGAGCATGGTTAAGGGTAATTTGGTCATTTGGTGGGAGGATTTGGAAAAAAATAGATAGAATATTTTGATAATAGTATTGTTAGGAAATTATTATCAAACATGTTTGAAGTTAGTTAAAGTCTTCACGATAAGTAAATTAAAAAAATAATGATAATACTATTTTTTAGGATTCAATTAAGTCTTAGAATGAACCTATTTTGAAAATTTTTAAGTTTCATTCACGAATAAATGAAAATATAATCACGATACTGTCTTTCAAAATTCAATTAATATGCAAGAATTAACTTATTTAAAGATAGTTGAAATCTTTTACACAAGTAAATGAATGAATAATGATTACAAAAGTCACAAAAAAAGCCCTAAAATAAATTCGAAAATGGATTTAAGGATGTCAAGAATGAATCCCAAATAACTTTCTCCGCTTCATGTTCAAGATTATCAACCATTTTGGTAATCCAAAAGTCTTAGTTTTATATACTTTTGAGACTTTCAAAATATTTAATTTGCTCGGGCTGATAGAGTCCCATGTTGTATATATACTTTCGAGACTTTCAAAGTATATAATTTATTGGGGATGACCGTTTCAACTTTTGAAAATTATTTTCTCTTAGGAATATAAGTTCTATACAAATGAGGAAAATGACTTCCTTAATGAAAGTAGGAAAAACAAGTCGGACAATTAACAACATTTCAAGTTTACTATCTCGTCCCACCCATCCAATCCCTCCAACCTCCACCCCTTGACCATCCCGCCCCCGACCACTCCTGAACCTCCACTTTTCATATCCCATTTTGCCTCCATAATGTTTTACTAGTTAACAGTTGACACTATAATTTAGTTTGTATGCGTCATATTAATTTATTTTTCAAGAAAATATTTTCTAGAAAAATATAATTTAGTAAATTATTTCCTTCGTAGGCAACTTTCGCATAGGATAGCCATGGCCCATGGGAGGAAAAAAGTTAGATGTCATATAAATGCGAGTTTGGAATTCAGTTATAAATGTGCATTTCAAATTAATTAGAAACTAAGACACCAAATGTGATAATGACCGGATTAAAGCGAATAATATCTTAATAATATAATCTTAACTATTTATCAATTACATCATGGCAATTATCGAATATTCATAAAGATTAGATCAAAGTAGATAATAGATATCGTAATGATTTGGCCTCAACTGTATCAATTATTTAGGTTGTGATTGCTCTTCTTACGGTCATATTTATTATCTTGATCATTTTCAAACAATGTTCTAAACCTCTTTAATTAATTAGTATTATACCCAAAACAATGTTTCTCTTATATTTCATTATCTTTGCAAAATCCAAAAAATAAATTATCTTTTGGATCTAACTTTGTTAATCTCTTGAACCTGGAATTATCTTGGTACAAAAATTAATAAATATCAAACTAAAAAGAAATAGTCAAATTCAAAATACTTTTCAACTTCCCTATTAAAACCAAGCTTGCCGTTTCTAATATGAGGAATACAAACTTAATTTAAATACTTATTTTCGAGTATAAGTTAATAATTTTAAGAATAATTAAAGTTTAATTGTCTCAAACTTTAAGAACCTTTCCACTAGACATAAATAAGCTTGACTTAGTCAAACAAAATTGTCACTTTCATAGAAGTGCACTAGGAGTTGGGTCTTAACTATGCCAGTTCTTTGTGAAAAGGGAAGGAGGAAAACAAGAATTTAATTGAAAATATATTATTTTTGGTCCCTTAATCGTTAGTAATTTTTTTAGTTTAACCCCTATAATATCTTGCTGAACATATTTAACCTTCAATTAATAGAATTGTATGAACTCTCCGCTAACAAATTTTCAAAGCTCCAACCTCAAAATAATAGATGAAAGTACTAGCATTACTTTCTTATAGTAACATAAAAGACATTAACAAGAGTTGTGATGGAATGAATAAGATTCTTCTACTCTCAATTAGAAGTACGATCAGGTTCAAGCTCTTTCTTAGCATAAAAAAAAATCCTATTAAAGCTTTTACGCAACACAAATCTCGGTTAGTCTAGGTGGAGAAAAAAAACCATGAAAGGTGCTACATTAATTTATTTTCCATTTAAAAAATTTAACAAAAATATGTTAGTGGATGGACTAAAAGCGCACAAATACATTAATTAAAGGTTCCACATATTTATTCTTAGTATCACAAGGACCAAACTTGTCAACATGTTGATAACTAAGGGATAAAAAATGCAATTCTCCCGTATATTAAATACGCAACATGAACGTTTGACTTTACAAATTACAATCAGATCACACGATGGAAATTCCTCCAACGGAAGAATTCAGCCATTTCAGCCATGGCCACCCATTAATAAAAATCTCCGATATCCTCGATGAAGAAGATCAAGTCATTTGCTCCGGCTGCGAGCACCATCTCTCTAGCGAACCCGCCTACATGTGCACAAAAATAAACTGCAATTTCATCCTCCACGACTCTTGTTTCGATTTGCCTAGGCAAATTAAACACAAGTCTCACCCGAAACACACATTAAGTCTCCGATTTTTTCCTCCGTACAACGACGGGGAATTCACGTGCGATGCATGTGGGAATTCGGGGAACGCATTTACTTTTCATTGTGATAAATGTAAGTTTGATCTTCACGTGGAGTGTGCTTCGTTGCCCGAAATCGAAGAGAGAGAAGATCATCAACATCCTCTTACGTTGTGTTATAATAGTAGTAACTTGTTTGTAGGGAAGGAGGTTGAAGTTGATGTGATGTGTTATGTTTGTAAAAATGGAGTTGGGAAGAGTTGTTGGTTTTATTGTTGTTTGGCTTGTAAATGTGGTGCACATTTGGATTGTGTGTCTACTCAAGAAATTCAAGTTTTAGATATTTGAGTAAGTTTGAGATTTATTTTTTTTCTCTTAAGAGAAAAATAAAATGTTTCTTGTGGAAATCCAATATTGTGTTTGATGTTAATTAATCTGCCGTTTCAACTATGTTTTACGATGTATGCCAAGTCGTCATTTGTTTGATTATACATTATTTTTGGTTCTATATATTCATTGAACTTTTCTTGTTTTTTTTTTTTCTTGGTTGGATTTATAGCGATTAAATATGTGATAATTATTGAGAATTAAGATGTATGTCACCCAAGAGTCGTGGCCTAATAATTCTGAAGTGAGTTGGAAATTATGGTTTAAACAATTGATAGTGAAGGACATAAAGTGTGTTTTGATAAATAGTTGATGATAGTTTAAATAGAAAAATTCACATGTCCGATAAATCAAAGATGAAACAAAAAAAAAATTGAAATCCATAATTAGGTGTATTTTTAATCATTAACTCTTCAAATTTCAATGGGAATGAAAGTAACAAGGCAATTTTTTTGGGGGTTCAAACCTTAATAGGCAGTTAATTGATACAATATCTTTCAAAAAGATATGGAAGACAATGATATATACATTAACCTTCTATGTTTTTTTTTTTGTGATAAGTAAATATTTTATTAACCAAGTGAACAGGTACAACTAAAAAAGAAAAGAAACCAAGGACTTAAAATCTTCTAATCTGGACATATTGTCAATACTAGCATTGCACCTTATATTCCTCTAATTTTTTTTTATCTTCCTATCAACATTAACCTTTAATTTAACATGCTTTTGGATTGACAAATATTTTGTATAGACAAAAATGTTGATACCAAAACAAATAGTTATGTTTAATCAATAATTAGTGTGAAAGAAAGTGCAATTACCGAATGAAATATATAAATAATTATTTTTTTCTAAAAAAGAAAAAAAAACTACATGACATAGCAAAGATGAGAAGGAGTTGCTCGAATGGTAAGCACTTCTCACTTCCAACCCGAAGGTTGCGAGTTCGAGTCACCAAGGGAGCAAAAGGGGTGGGAGCTCCTAGGGAGGGTAAAAAAAAAAGAAAAAAAAAAGATATTTATTTAATGTTTATAGCTATAGTTTAAGATATTTATTATATTTTGATATAATTTAATATTAAATAAAAATTTCACTATTACATGTTATTATACTCCTTGCAAGCGCTTTTTATGGTAATTATTCCTTATGATTTTTCTCTTTTATTACCCTAGGTCACTTATATTTTTTTTCCCTCTTCAAATTAAGGATATGTTACGAAAAACAAGAAAGTGTTGAACTTTCAAAATCTTCATACATTTTGTAACCCAATGATGTTCATAACTTCATTTTGTGTTGCACAATACAAATCTAAGTTATTGACAGTTAATATATTGATTTATACACATTTGAATGCAAGTATACTTTGTACTGTTTGATAGTATTTTTTTTTTTTTTTGATAAATGGATACATTTAGTTATTAATACATGTATTTGTTTTTATTTTTTTAATATTTGGATACATTTAGTTATTAATACATGTATTTTTTGAAATATTTGGATACATTTTAATACATGGATAGTCTTCGTTTGACTTCTTCGAATGTCTGACTATAACTGTAATGCTATTTAATTGCCACTTCATCGAAGTAAAAAATGAATTCCATTAAATCAAATTTGAAAATATATGTATTAAATCTCAGAAAGAAACAATGGTGAAAATTGGACAACAAAGCAAATTGTATTTCAATTTTATTTTTTTGAGAGAGATGAGAATACCAACGTCCTAATTGTTGAATGAGTAATTTTAGATGTTTGTTTAATAATGGGAAGTATGAGAATTCAAATTGCCGTGACTCAAGGAATTACCATTTTAAAAACCGTTTTTTTCCCTTTTTAATGCCCTAACTGTGTACTAGTATACAAAAAAATAATAATTGAATACATAGAATATAATAGTATTACCATAATACATATATTCTATAAGGTAATTATGATAACTGTAGCAAAAGAAATATGATAGCTCCTAAACTATAGTCATTTAGGTAAGTTTCTGAGAAAAAAACAACCATCTAATTCAAATTTAGTGGTCTATGAATTAATTATCATTAGGTAGTAGATCATAGTAAAATTAACAAGAAAGATCAGTTGTCTTCCCTAGTACTAGTGAAATTGAAGAAAGACATATCTTTTCTTATGAAAGAATTAATCTATCAGTCTAACAATAGTTGTCAACTACTTTCTCTGTCCCTAATTATTTGTTCATTTTTGAATTGACATACCTATTAAGAAAACAATTATTGACATAGAGAGTTTACCATTTTACCCCTATTAATTATGAAGTGGATGGATTAAAAACTTAAGGTTTTCAAAAAGTTCTACATTTTTCAAAGTAATTAATTGAGGGTATAATAGGTAAAAAAATTTGTCCTTTCTTGATTTGTCAAAATAGACAAGTAATTAGGGACAACTAAAAAAAAGAAAAAGTGGACAAGTAATTAGGGACAAAGGGAGTATTGACTTGGCACACCCCTTAAGAAACTATAAATAGAAGGGTAATTTTATTATATCATCCTTTGAATATAATAAATACAATGTGTTGAAAAATATAATAATGAAATTAAATGACTATAATTAATGTTAAGGATAAATTAGGAACTGTTCGATATCTCAAAATAATATAGTGGATAACTATAGTTGTAGGACGGAGGGAGTAAGAGCTAAAAATAATTGCTCACTACATTTAGAGATTATATATAGTATTTCAGATGTTAATATATCGAGAAAAGCTATTCAAAAAACATTAATAACTTGAATTAGTTTGGACACTTTATGTTTCAAAAGTTAATTTTATTTAAAGCGATAAATGACAAAATTATGAAATTAATTAGAAAAAAGTCACTCAACTAAAAATATAATTGCAATAAATCATCAAACTTATTTTTCAACCCAAAATAACTAAACATTAGTGAAGGTAAAGTAGGCTGAATACCACCCGCATTAACCTTTACTTAATTTCCTAAAATAACTTAACATTCAAGGTGAAGTTGACTGAATATAACCCGCATTAACCTTTACTTAATTTCCTAACATATCATCATTCTTATAGAAATTCAGATGAAGGTGAAGTCAGTGGCGGAGCAAAATATTTTATTATTCGAACCTAAAACTTCTTCATTAAAATGGACACCCATTATCACTACGCCACATGTATAACTTTTGTCAAGGGTGTCCAACTTTAAATATATATCCTTTAAAGGTAGAATTTGACATATATATATACACAACATAATTTTCTGACGAAGGGTGTCTACTATAACTCCGCCCTGGGTGAGGTTGGATAGACCCCATTGCATTAATTTCTTTTTGAAATTCAAATTAGAAAAACTTTATGATTTGAATTAAATAAATTATCCAAATTCGACATGTTATCTACTCAATCTTAAACCATCATCAAGTAAAATCATTAATTTATAATCCAACACTAATTCATAGCCTTCCAATGCATCTTTTATTTTCTCATTATATTTACGTAGTTTAATTGTTGTGCAAATTTTCGTTTGAATACGCATAGAATGAACAATATAATTTTTTAAAGTTTCAAATGTATTATAAATAAATTATTAAGAAAAAAAAGGTTCCCACCAAATCCGACCCGTAAAAAGCTTTTTTGGTATGAAAAATTGTTGTGGCAACCATTGAATTGCCACATAAACTATTTATGGTGACTAGGTCGCCACCATTTTAAAAGTTTCAAATGTATTTTAACCTTCTATTGTTTTTTTTTTTATGATTAGTAGAATATTTTATTAATCAAGTGAATAGGTACAACTCAAAAGAAGAAAAGAAATCAAGGACTTAAAACCTTCTAATATGGACATATCGTATACTAGCGTTGCACCTTATATCCCTCTGAAAATATTTTTATCTTCCTATCAACATTAACCTTCAATTTCATGCTTTTGGATTGACAAATATTTTGCATATACAAAAATGTTGATACCAAAACAAATAATTATGTTTAATCAATAATTAGTGTGAAAGAAAGCATGCAACCCAAAATCTACAGAATGAAATATATAAACAACTTTTTTTTTCTAAAAAGAAGAACATATCAATTTTCGAGAAAAAACGTCACATAAAGCATGCATTTAAAGGTGAGGAAACACACTAAACTTAAAACTAATTAGAACAAAATCGAGCAGCGAAGCCTATTGAGAAACCACTTCATTTTTTCTTTCTTTTGACCTTTAAATGCAAAGAGACTAACCTATATACCAAACTGAAATTTGATACAAAGAAAAAAGAAGGATGACCACAATATCTATTGAAGTTTCCAGATTGTTTGACTAATAAACGACACCCAATACAAATCAAGCTACACTTTGAAATAAAGAAGACAGTCAGGTTCTCAATAGCATTTTGAAACCAAAACAGCTCCAACATGTAAAGTAGATAGATACGTTTAGGAGATGAACTATCAGTAAGCATGTATGCCAAGTTGAAACACGATTACGGTACCAACATTACATTGCTAGCTGACATAAACAAGACAAAGACAACATTCAAGTTGTGCAAGAAACAGAGACAAGTTTTGCGATATTGTCCTGATGAGAAACTGCTACAACCAAAATACAAATAAATAATGAAACAACAGAACACAAAGCTGACACACTCAAAATTGCGATTGAATGAGCAATAGACCATCTTGAGCAAACTGATTCAGCCCACTTGCAAAATAAGATTAAGCCATATCAAAACTAAGAAACGAATTTAGAATAATATCTCGCCATCTGATATACATTAGTTTAGATCATTCTTACTTCAAAACGAATAGAAAAATATGAAAGGTAAAAGAATATACCTTTTTGGAGCAGCAAGCCGAGACAAGACGAGCTAGTTGGAGCGAACTATATCACCACCACAATGAGACTTCGAGACTTCCGATGAGCTAGCAATATAGCGAAACTAAAACTCGAACTAGTTCTACCCCTCTTTTGAATGTATTTCTTGTATATTTCTATATCTACTTCTGTTTCTAACCTCTTTAATGAACTATTATTTTGTAAGTTCGTTCTGGCCTCTATATATGAATATATTTCCTCAACCTTGAACAAAAAACT